TGTTTTTTTTTTTTTTTTTTTTTTTTTTTTTTTTCCTATTTGGTTTTCCATAACTGGAGATTGAATCCAGGGCCTCTGCACTAAGCTACATTCCCACCCTAAGCTCACATTAGTGATCCTCCGAACTCAGCCACACAGAATGGCAGGATTACAGTTAAATAATCAACTAGTGATATATGGGAAATCCATTACAAACAATTTATAAAACATTGGGTCCTGTGCCTCGTTATATTTTATTTTCCTCATAAATTACATGATAACTTTGCTTGAATTCATAAAGCATGTCCTCAATAGATACCCATAGCATATCACCACATAAAGCAAAAATTAACAGGTACTAACAGATGAAAAATCTAGTGTGTGCGTGTGCAGTAGATCCGATTGTATCCTTACGAGTCATTGCATGAATTATAGTTTGCAGTTCTGTAACCTTGGAAAACCCTCATGGTAGATGCTGCCCCAGAACTGGGCATGAATTTCCTTTTCTGCTGAACAGTTGTTTATACCTCTTTGGAGTCAGCCTGGCATGCAGAGCGTGCTTACAGTAGTGCCAAAGGTAGCTGGATGACCAGTGGTATCGAATTGTGGTAACTATGGGGACTGCACCGAATTTGATTTTTGCCCTGGAATTTTAATGTGCTTACCCTTCCCGGCCTCAGAGGATGTCGTGCTATGAGATGAAACCAGTAAAATACACAGCACAACTCTAAAGGAGAAGTGCAGTTGTTTTCGTGAGGATGAGTTTGGAATCATGCAGAAACTCAGGGCAGTGGCCACCACCATGTGGGATGCCACCCAACAGGCAACCAAGTGGGAGAAACTTGCAGGACTGGGTGGCAAACAGCCAGAGCGTTTGTGGACTGAAATACTTCAACTTCAGCAGTTCACACTATCAGAGGAACACAGCATGTCAAATGCTTCCGGTTTTAATTGGAGGTTGAGGAATAGCTGTGGCACTGATTATTTCCAGAAATGCTGTAGAGTCGGCGCACCTGGATGAATGCGTGGCTGGCTGTGCAGAGTGCAGTGGCTGATGAGAGAGTAAATCAGGAGTGACACGTGCCACCTCGTGGAGAGCATCAAAACCAAGGGGGCTGTGACCTTGTGGGGATGCGGGAATCAGTATCACTGCCAGTGTAATCAAGACACTCAGGAAGCTGTGTTTTCCCTCGTCATTTATCCAATCAGCATAAGCTAACAAGAGAGAACAGGATGTGGGAAAAGGATTTTCAGTTCCTTAACACAGCAGTCATTAACCCCATAGTAAATTAGAGCACTTCTCAATTTAATGAGCCAGATTCCCCGCTTTTCATTAAGCTGAACAAGTCAGATGAGCTCTTACTTAGGGTTAGACGGCGTATCTTGAATTCTCCCTGATGAAACACGCGTGAATTTTCACATCATTGTTGACAGGTTCTGTGAAGCGTGAAATGAGATAATTTTGGAAGGTGTCTTTTTTTCTCCCTAGGCACAATCCTATTTTAGAATTTGGTGTTCATATTTAAATTGGGGGGGGAGCCAACAAGCTCTGGGGCAAAATTAGATACTTGTGGGGCTCTTTAATTTTGGGGGGTAAACTCATAGACTGTATTCATATAATCTGCTCTCTCTTTCTCTATTATATAGACATAAAATAACACACACATGTAAGATATATGTATTGTACTACACATATATGGTACATGTGCATTACTGCATGCATGTATACACGTGTGCATACACGCGTTTTTACACACATACTTGTATGTACACATATACGTATTAGTACTTCAATAGCGCATCCTTATAATGTGCATTATGTTATTTTAACAATAATGATAAGGTGCAAATAATCTCGGTTAGTTTCGTTTTAATCAAACCTACTTACACTTTCTCCTCTACCAAAATTTAACTCTCTCACAAGAAATTTTCTACCTGTTCTTTGTTTCTTTTAGTTGACGTGCATGCCCTTTGGAGGAGTAGGTGTCTGGTCAAGACCTTTGTAAATGATGTATTACCAGTCATGTCATTACCAGTGCTATAAGGAGAAACAAGAAAGAAAGCATTAAAAGAAAAAAAATGATTGTTTTTTTCTAAATTTTACATTGACCTGTCACCCTTCCTCACCCCACCTTTGTGCAGTTTTACTAAAATAATATTTGAAATACTGCGATTTTTAGAAATAGCAGTTTTTAAATTTTACATTAACGTGTTCCAGCAAAACTCTGTTTACAAACTTCCCTGACCTAGACTCTCTGTGAGAGATTCTCCACCCAACACCCGACCTTTCTTTTGTTTGTTTGTTTGTTTGTTCAACATATTACCTGAGGCGTAATTCTAGTGGCTGCTAGGACTTGGAGAGTTGGGCTCCCTGTCTGTAGGTGTTTACAGCTGCACCTGATTACGCAGCCAGGTAGGTTGTGGAGGCCCTGCCAGCCCGTGTGTCTGGAATATTTATCACGAAGACCTTGCTTCTGTGTTTTTCACAGCACAGCTTTACAGGCGAAGGGGCCAAGGCACATTCGCCCTGAGTATCCTGTCCCCTCCTCTTGCTCTGGGACCTTTTTCATCTCCTCCTTCTTCCCTTCCCTGCCCCAGGCGTCACCGTCCTTCCTGGCGCAGTGGGGTGGAGAGTACTGGATCCCTTCTGGGAAAAGCTGCCTTTTTACCCAGAGCCTCCCTCGCTCTGTGGCTTTAGAACAAGGCCCGCTGAGCGTACCCAGGAGCCACTTTGCAAAAAGAATCTCTGGTTGTTCTATTAATTTTTAGATTTGCTGTGGAAGATACTGACTTCCAATTATTTTCCCCCCATTACATTTATTGGTATATTTTAGACAGACAATACAGTTACACTTATCATTGGGATCTTGTACCTTTACATGATGTATCTTGGTTCTTATTTTTCTCCCCAATCCCCTGCCCTCCCTTCACCCCCTTCACCCTTCCCTGTTTACAAAGACTTTGTTTCCGTTATTTTTTCTTTTTTCATTTATTTTCTTTTCCCTTATTTCCTTTCCCCTTCCCTTCTCACTTCAACTTTAGCCATTTTCTTCCTGTTTTCCACTATCAGCTATGCCATTTGAACCTTATTTACCCTTTTAGTTTTTCACACCAGAGAAACCATTTGGTATTTACGTATGTGTGTCTTATTTATTTCACTTAAGAGTATGGCCTCATTGTGCATCCGCACAGCTATAAATGTCTCTAGTTTCGCATTCTTTATGCACTCTATATTATAGGAAAATCACACCTTCTTTATCCAGTCTCCAGTCGATGGGCATTTGTGTTGTTTCCAAGGTTTAGCTGTTACAAACTGTGCCGCTGTAAACATGGCTGTGCATATATCACCGTGGTAGGATTCTTTTAATTGTTTTGGAAAGATACCCAGCAGAGGGATAGCTGGGTCAAATGGAATCAACCAACTGCCGTTTCTTACGATAAGAATAGCACCTCCTCGGGTGGAGCGTGTCTCATTCAGAGTCAACAGTACACTTGACTTTCTGCTTGGCTTGCATGAGAAGTCCCAGTCTAGTCATACATGGCTTCTTAGACATGCCTCGCACACAGGACAAACTCAGGTACATCTTAGGGGGAGTAATCTAGCTTTTCAACTTTGGGAGAGACCTCCTGATTCCGCCCCAGAGTTCTTACCATTTCAGTGAGGGATTCGTGCACAAAGGCGTGTTTTGCTCCCAGAGAGCGGGATGAGCCCTCAGAAATAGTAATTTAGGAGGACGCACCCTGAGGCAAGCATCTTGACACAGGAAGGAAAAGTTCGCATGGACAAAGCCACTGTGTCTTTCTTCGTTTGGATCCTGTGCTGTCATTGGCCTGAGCTGATGCCGGACCTTCTTTTCCACAGAAGTGGGTGGATGGAGGCCTCACCAATAGCCTTCCCGTCTTGCCCATGGGTCGCACGGTGACCATCTCCCCCTTCTGCGGGCGGCTGGACATCTGCCCACAAGACAGAGGGCAGCTGGATCTGTACCTGAACATCACCAATCAGGACATAATGGTGAGCAGTTGCATTTGGTGACATTTGAAGAGTCCTAATCCACCAAAAGACCCCACAGAATTCAACATGCATCCCACACACATCGGAAGCTCATTGATAATTTTTATGTATGAATTGGATTTCTCAATGTTGTGCTTTTCCAGGACTTTGCAACACAGACTGTGCATGGGGTCTTGGTTCTTACATGTTGTCAGGATGCAGGCTCTTTGCTGCTGATGAACTCTCAGTTTCTCTAACGCTTTCTTTTCCCTCTCTTCTATTTCACGTCCGTAAACTCCGTGGGGTGTCAGAACAATTTAAATCATGCATTTATTTAGAAAGATGGAAAGAATGAAAGGTATGAACATACTGGAGAGACATCGAGGGACCAAAATGGACAATTAACATAAAGATATTGATTCTGTTAGAGTAATCTGTTGGGTGTCAGCATGGGGCAGTGGCATACCGGAGAAATATTTGGCACTGTCCAGAGGCATTTTGGATTGTCACATCTGAGCACAGCAATGGGTATTTTATGGAGTAGGCCAGGGATATTTTTCAATGTACTATAGTACCAGGATGGCACCTAGAAATGTCAACAGTCTCAAGGTTAGGAAGCCCTCAACTGGTCTCTGTATGGATTTAGCTTTTTTTTTTTTTTTTT